AGTTTCATATAATTAAAAACATAAAAGAAATATTATAGGCAGCTTTGCGTTGTTAAGAAATGCCGATTTATTTTGAAAAGCGCAATATCCCGAAAACGTCAGAAATGGCTCTAACTAAGTAAAATTCGTTTTTAGAGGTAGAGAATGTATTCTAATGCCGAAAACGGAGTAAATATGAAAGTAGACATATAATAACGTCTAATGAAAGTGTCTTAATGAAGTTTACATCGAAATATCGTTTAATAAGTAGTGTGATTTCATATATGACGGTTTGTCAACTGCCTACATTCTGAGTGTAGATTCCAAAACAGTTTTCCAGTGATTCCTGTTTTATTTTACTTCTCTGAAGTAAATGAGATGGGGTTCAACAAGAGAAGCTGGATTTTGCTTGAGTTCACCGATGGGGACGTCAGAGGAACAAAGATTTTCATAAGATGACATGCCATGAGGCCGATCGGTGTCTAATAAATTTAAACAGAACTGACAGGCGTGATCGTAATCATACTATTTTGTGAATAATGGAGGTAGTATGCATTCCGAGGCGATATAATAAAAGGAGAAGGCTTGTCGGAAAATCGAGGTATACTCGTGAATTTTCAAGTCGGTTACACCAACCCGTCGTCAGACGAAAATGAAAAGTGTGAGGGAGATAATCCTACTGGGGAGTCAGGGGGACATCGAGGTTACATCGACAAGACAGGAGTTTATGTGTGGGGGTGAAGAACGTGTTTGGATAGGTGGCGGACTTTAGGGGTGGTGTTGGGGGTTTCACACATGATTCACTCTGTGGGGGAGGTGCTGAATCCATGATATTCTACATGGTATTCTACATGACATTCTACACTTCTCGTTCGTTTTGGATTACGTTGAGTTTCAGATCGACCTCGAAATATTGCTGAATACTTCATGATTTTCAGTGTTTTCACCCGATCCCCCATAAAGGCAGATTCTGAATCAATTGTCTGTTGAGAACTTAAAATAAGATTATTCTTAAAGGCATTTCCCGAATAAGTGAGTGTTCGGGTGCTCTCTTTCACGAAGCTGGTCGTTCGGGTCACATGTGAAGCAAAATCGTGGTTCAGTTCTCGTATGTGGCCATAGACCAAAGACATCTTGTCTTTGCGGTTGATTGCAAGTTGGTGTTCGTGCAGTCTTGTACCGAGGCGTTTGCCCGTTTCGCCAACATACGTCGCATTACAATTTAGGCATAGTATGCTGTAGACCACCGGCGACTCTTCTGTTGTTGGTAGTGGGTCTTTAGACTTCGTAGTTTGCTGTCTGATGGTGCCTTTGAGAAAACTAGAGTGACTGGTCGAGCCAATGAGATGATTGCCAGACCGATGCTCGAAAGTTGGCCCTCGAATAGCACACTCAACTGATCTATAGATCTACATCCAGCCTACCAGACGCTGCGTACAAGGCTCAGATCAGTCCGGACAGGACCAGTAAGGCAAGCGAGCACGCGGTACCAAGAGTCAACGCTTGAGGGCCAGAGGTCGTGTGACCAAAGCCGAACACTGTCTCACCGATGCGCCCGCGAATCTGAATGCTGCTCACATTAACAGCAACGACCGATCAGTCCACCGGCTAACGACTACAAATACGCCGACCCCAAGGGAAACAAAGGTCACGAAGGCCTGTCAACGGTCAGTCGGGGGAGGTCTAAGCCAGTTAGCGGCAAACAAACAGGTCAAAGTTCGTGCGTCGAGCACGGCTATAACACGAGGCAAGCGGCAAAACTTAACAACTCGAGACCGGCAGTTGCAACAAGTACGCTACTGTGATGATGGAAACGATTAAGTTTCCGAAACGTCAGTTCGAATACAATATGGTCCACGAAATCGCACCCTCTCTTTTTCTTCGTCTTCTTCTGGAGATGACGAACGCGATATATATATATATATGAGATGGAGCCGACAAAGACAAGGGAGACCGGAATGGCCATTTCTGGCTTATTAGCCGTCATCAGCCGGTCATACCCAACCACAAGTGTGGATCACTTGAGATTCGAACCCGGGATCTTTGGTCATGGAGTTTGACGCTCTACCATTGAGCCACGGGCCCGTTGTCCTGTCGGTTGTGATCGGGAATATCAATTATGACAGTGGGCGCTCGAAAACCGACAGGGCAGCAGGCTCGTGGCGCAGTGGTTAGAGGCGTGGACTTCTAACTAACAGGTTGCGAGGTCGAGGCTCGGGTGTTCAACACTTACGGCCTGGGTATGACTGGCTGACGACGACTAATAAGCCAGAAATGGCCATTCCAGTCTCCCTTGTCTTTGTCGGTAATGCCATTCTGCATATATATACATATATACGGATATACTGCTCATGCAGCACGATATTGCCGGCAGAGACAAGGGAGACAAGAATGATTATTTCTGGCCGATTTTGCGGTAACTATTTATGGCGTAGTACCAGAAGGCAAGCGTTTGAGAACTAACTTAGATTTTGCATGACTTGTAGCTGTACGCTACATATGAAGATAAGCAGTCGAGGATTTGATTTGTTTTTCCGTACTTAAACGCTAAGATTGACTGCTCTGGCGGTTCGTAACCAAGAAAAAGCGACAGAAATGAAAAGGAAGAGCTGCTTCGTCGTTTCCAACGTTCATTTGTTTTCCCAGTGTGACTTTCTCTAGCGGAAAATTTCCCAGACTCCTTTGTTTTTGCCACTCGTCATTGCAGCACTGCTAAGAGTCGCAAAATATTTGTGGGCAGTCCCCCTTACCAGCCCCGGAAGTTTGCTCTTCTCAGACCTTGCAAATTCAAAAATAACCCAGCACTCACTGTTGTGCCGATGAGCGAAACTAAATTTAGCCAAGATACCTAACACATGTTTTGTTTGCCATAATTTCCAGTTAGGCGCCAAAACCCTGTCAGGTTTGTTAAAACAGAATTGGCGTTCAAGGATTTCCTCCGACTGGGAACGGAACTCGAACGATTCATATTGTATCCGAGCAAAATGGGGTCTACATATTTTTCTGAATGTCACGTAGGGACGAGAAAGTAATGATCAGAAGATTTTTCAAACACAGACAAGGGGGACTGTGACAGTCCTCTCTAGTTTGTTCTCTGTCGTCGCAGCTTTGCTCTCTCGCTTTCTTAATTCCGAAGACGGGATACTGATTTTGCAATCTTTCTATCAATTCTAACGGAATATCACTTTAAGTGCTCGCTATGAATATTTCCTGGTCAAGCCTACCCCCTAAATCGTGGAGGTGGCCCGTAGAAGAGACTTCGCCACTTCAGACAGACCTGCTTTAAGATGGCAGAGAGAATGAAGAAGGCAATCACTTCGAAATTTGCTGGGCAACTCTGACCATTAAAACGTGCAAATGTTCGTATTTATATTTATTCATCGGTGGAACCGTCATCAGCGGACTGTTATTATTCAAATAAACGTATAGTGGACCGTGGGTTGCGGAAGCTTCGATGTATGCATGGAACAAATTCAGGAGTTCATTTAAAAATACACAATTACCTCCGCAAAATCAATGCAGTCTATTTAAATATATCAAGAGAAAAGCCTGGAAGATCTGATCTGATCTAATCTGATCTGATCTGATCCATGATCTGCGTCAATAGAACTGGCTATACACCAGTAGACAAATTCACGTTCCTGGTGAAAACAATTGCAGTAACAATCTGGACAGACAACGAAAATGTCAGTCGGATCTCCAAGGTCAGCTACGGTACATTGTCTGGAATCGTCGCGACATCGTCCTCAGCACAAAGCCAAAGATTTTCGTGATTGTTGTCCAGAATATCCTTCTTTACGGGTGGAGGGATAACAAAAACAAAGCAAGAAGGTCATAGCAGTTTTACTTCGGTCGCCTCCGAGGGCTAGTGAGGGTTGAATGGCGGAAAAGGATCCCAGGCACCAGAACCCTGGAGAGGACTGGCGTTGTCATTATCTACGTCACGCTAAAGCTCCACTTTGGAGCGGTCATGACTTGAGGCTGTATGACAAACGCCCCGCCCAAACGGTTGCACCGTGGTTATATGGCTACGGGTGCCTGCGGATAGATGTGACAATACAAGAATAAGCTGAAAAGCTCTCTTAGTCACTTGTAGATTAATCCCGAGACCTAGGAGGGCCTCGCATGTAGTCGTCGGATATGATGCACTGTCATGAATGCTGTAGCAGCCATCTTTGAAGTCAAGCAAATAGCCTCGGCCAAGATGAATGGGGAAGCGCACGGGACTCAGGTGTCTTGGATCAAAGATGTGAGTACCCAACCCCTTCCATCATGCCATCGTTGTCTATTGAAATACAAGGAATGGATCAACCTCACTGGGTATTTGCGGATCTCGTGCAGCGCCAACATGATCAAGCCGCCTGTTATTCAACGAAATGACAGGACAGGGGAACTGGGACCCCCTTATTCCGAGGGCCTTGCCCTGGTTCTCATGGAGATTAGGGTTAGTGGCAAAGTTAGGTCCGGGGTCAGGTGTACGGTTACGGTCACCGTGGGGGTTACGATTAAGTTTATGGTTAAGGCCGAGGTTGGAGTTAAGGGTTAGAATTTAATTTAGGGCTATGGTCTAGTGGCCCTACGCCGAACGTTTGTCTCAACGCTGGACCTCTCGCGAGTGTCTCCGCGTGCGCACCAGGGCTATCTGGCATCCGCCCACTCGGCCATCCAAGTGACCAATCATATTTAAAGCCGAGTCAGACGTGTCCTGTCTTAAGACGCTTTGACGAAATCCTAGGCGGACGCATGGGACGGCGCTCTCCTAGGGCCATACGTGTCCTCGTCCGACTGCTAACTCTCTCCAGCTCCTTTCACAGTTACTATGTACAGAATGCGTCATCCTCCCAGATGGCGTTCGTCTTCTCTTTCCATTCGAGATCGGGCCTGAAAGTCCATGGTAGCCAGGGCCTCACTCGCGGCCTAGGCTTCTGCGATAAGGACACGGTAATGGTTACCCATCCCGGAATTGTGCGCAAGACCACCTGTATTGCGTGGAGGAGCCTCCTACTCCTGTGTCTTACCCACTAATCATTGCGGCCATCATCATCATCATCATCATCATCATCATCATCATCATCATCATCATCATCATCATCATCATC